TGATTGCCGGAGTAGAGAGTCTTAAACGTGAAATTCGAACGTTTGCTTAAATATCACTTTGATCATTCGATCTGAATATTTTATCATGGGGAACACGTAGATTATCATCTTAGGCCGATATCTGAAAATTAATGTCTCAAAAACATAAGACACTGAAAAGTATCTGAAAGCATGTGTACCCTCGTTTTTAACACGAGAATATGATACTTTAATTCATTCTATCTGCAAGAATCAGTTCGAAAAATGAAGTGAACATTGCTGTAGCAATGCTAATCCAGAGGGTGTGGGTGTCGGGCGTTGACACCTTCATGCACATCACACCAACATCCTATTTAGGATGCTATACAATTATTGACCAATTAAAGTATAGATGAATTTAAAAAAAATAAGTTTACAGATATAATTAGAAGTTTGTTTACGTCAACATTGAACCTATTTCTACAGTACCTAATAACGTTAGATAGCAAAGCAATCTCGTATCGGCAAATAATTTATCATTCCAAGGTGATTTTTAGTATTATGTTTCTTTTAGTAAAAGATCGGTCAATGATTTATTTAATCAATTACTAACGTTATTAAATATCGAGTTATTAAATACAATATGATACTATAGGTTAACATTGGTGATTCCAACATCAGTTGCTTCAACAATTATTTATTATCACCTCTAAAGAAATTCTTTAAAATCATTGATTTTATTTGAAGTTTAGGGAGTGAGCGTAGGGAACAAGTATGTCAACACCCATATCCACACCCTTTTCTTTATACTATGGTGAAGCACATTAATAAAATAAATTCACACCTAATATTTTGGGTTCTCATTTTTCTGCCAAGTATAACAAATGAAAAAAAAAACGAAGTCATGTTCCTATACAGTTGATGTGCTCAAAAAGGGTGTGGGTATGTAGATTTGGGTTTGAGTGTCAGTAATCGCTAAATCTACATCCACACTTGGTCTCTACCCTAAAAATGTTCTGGATACGTGCCTGTGTATAATTATTATTAGATTCATACAGCGAAAAATGATCCAGACAAAAACAACGGAAGTCATGATATTTTGATGGTGAAGGTATATATTCAAGAACTTCTTTTTTTGTTGATAAACCATCAAATTCGGACCTCCGATTATAGTTATTAGAGAAACAATACTGATTGTGTACCGAATTGAGATGGTGCAATATGATAGAGATATCGTAATAGTGAATCATGATGACATTACTAGAAGAAACAAAGAAAAGTAAAAAAAAAAAGCAATGTGTTGTGTGATTTCGTTTGTTGGTAATTTTATCACGATCAACATTGAACAATCTTATCAGAACATTATTGCAACTAACAACTTTCTGACTAGAGTTGTGTGCACCTTCATCACGTTTTTTCTTTCTATTTCTTCACGCGTTGATAAACACTGGATGTTTTTTCTGTGAGATGATACAAAAAATACTCAGTGCAGAAAAAACTAGGAGGGCGAAAAATTTTGAGAAGAAAACATGGAATTGATTACAAAATATAGCAAAACCTGTTTCTATGTTTTGATATTAAGGTAAAATCAAATGAAAGTGTCTACTTGGTTTTTCAGTTGATCAAGATGTGCATTTCGGATGCTTTTTCCGCATCGATAGGAACTAAATAATTTGATGGCACAACTTGTTCTGTAGCTATTTAACAAAGTTCTTGTCTATGATTCTATCATATTCATTGTTTCTGTCACTTGCGTGATGTCAATGGAATCTTTCATAAATGATTGATTCATAAACCAGTAGATTAACTATCGACCAGTTCAACAACAATGTAAGGATGGAAGATGAATTGCATGCAAAAAAAAACAAAATGAATGCATATGACGCTTTGCAGAAATGATAACACCGTAGTAAAAATCATACTTCCAACATGCAATGGAATTTCATCGTGTTCCATAAGATAAATATTTGTTTTAATTGCAACATCTATTTATGTACAGATAATGATTGGTGTTTTCCGATTTCATTACATTCTCACATGTAGTTTGATAGCATTTGTATATATATTCAATCAGAAGGCATAATCGTGGAAAGCGTATAGATACAGAAAAACTCTTGATCAACGGTCGAACAATGCTCAAAGAACTATTGACAAGTTGACTGGATAACATGCGAACTATTCCTGATGTTTCGATTCAAATCTCTCATTAGGTAGATGATGGTTCATCATATCAAAATGTTTGTGACTTCAAACCGATGACATGATCATTCTTAAACACGTACATTTTGACATCTGTTTTCATTCGATCTAACGATCGAATGTCTCAACCTCCCTCGCAATTTCAATCAATGCTATGCCAACGGTTGAACAGACAAGTCTTAAAAACCATTCTCATTATGTTTGACCACTGAATGATCTCGTTCTGTCCGATTTTCAAGCAATGTCATGAAAATGGTGGAATAGAGATGTAATCACGATTATTCTCATTCAATATAACAATTGATTATCTCAAACCCTCTCACATTGTGCATCGATATCATGACAATCGTTGCAAACACTTGATTGTTTACACTCTAACTCATACAAAACGATAAAAAACAGATAAGATTAGTCAACTAACGCTATGTTTAGTAAAGAATAGAGTCCTGCAACGGGGTCGGGTACCCGGCACCCGACCGGACCCGAAACTGTGGTCCGGGTACAAATTTGCCGGGTCGGTTCGGGTGCCGGGTATAAAAAAAAATGCCGGGTCGGGTGCAGGATTTGAGCATACCCGGTACCCGACCGGTAGTCGATGACATCTTAACAAGTAAAAGTATTTTACACTCTAGGATAGAGTCCTGCAACGGGGCCGGATACCCGGCACCCGATCGGACCCGGAACTGTGGTCCGGGCACAAATTGTTACTTGATGAAATTAAAATAATAGTATATTTTGCCATATGAAATAAAAGTTTGAAAAGTGAATATAATTTTGACAATAACAATCAAGTGCTGACTATTTCAAGGCTGGGCCGGGTCCGGTCGGGTACCGGGTAGAGCTATCCGGGTCCGGTTCGGTTCTGGGTGGAAGATGACCGGGTCCGGTCGGATTCCGGGTTTGAAAAAAATGAGCCGGGCCGGGTCCGGGTGCGAAAAGTAGTACCCGTGCAGGACTCTAGTAAAGAACGAAAAAGGATATCGAGAGATTGAGCAAGGCGCTTGGCTAGTTGTAGATGAAGAATGAGTAGTTGAAGCGGTGTCTCGCGTGTTGACTTTCTGGTATCTTATCTGTGTGACACTGGCCGATATTTTTGTTGTGATGTTTCTACTACAATTGGCTAGTTAATTGACAAGCTACATAGTAAGTTGAAATTTTTCGAGTTTTGACGATGAAAAAAGTTTGGTTGTCTAATCTTTTCAATTAGTCCTTGACAACATCACTTCTCATCTTTTAGAAGCAATACATCTATCATTTCTGAGTAAATTACCACCACGTACTTAAACTCACTGTTTCCTACTTCTGACTTCGAGAAGTATAAAATTAGATCAGACGTTAACAGAAGAATCATAGACAACAATGTTCTCTCATGTGATTCTTATGGTTTTGTTGTTAACTGTTTCTGCACAATGCATGCCATGAGATCGTCAGCAGCTTTGAAATAGCACCGCCAATCCTGGTTTGAGAATTGCTGAATCGAGTCGAAAAAGTTTTTTTTTTAATAGCTAGTGCACTGATTCTAGATTATGTAATGACTTGATTTAGCTGATGCATAGTATATTTGTAAGTGATAGTGGGAATAGTTCGAATAACTGGAATGGAAGCCAAAAAATAGGTATTGGCATAATTTTAACTTACGAAAGCTCTGATAAGTCACCGCCCAGCTTGAAGAGAATCTCTGCTACTAATTTCGAATGTAATGATGTCAGTTTAAGACTCAATGACCGTTACATCATGAGTACTTTTCTTTTCGAAACTTTAAAGCAAATTCTGGATGTATCTTTATTCAAAAAAAACGAACGTCTCACAGTATACTTTTAGCGAAAAAACATGTAAAGATTTATTGAAATAGTGCAGCCAATATTCTTCTTGGTGGAACAAAAGTATTTCTTGAATGTTGAACCTAGTAAGTAAAGGAAGAAAACAATAATGTGAACTAAGAAGGTGTTTGATTTACTCTCGTAGCTTTGCTAAACTCTAATGTGTGTGCGAATTTCTGAGACTATTGGTGTGGATCGAACTCTTGCTCACTACGAATTTCGATAATATATATATATAGATAAGAACATTTTATAGAGTCAGGCAATCCTCTAGGGAGCAGAGCTCTGAATAGGATGATACCGAAAAATTTGTTCCAATGTTAAACCCTAGCCTGCTTTGTAATATTGTTTCAAAACATTTTCGTCTGGTCCCGTACCATCTGATAGTTCTATTATGTCATTTCATCTCTCGGGATCCTGTCTAAGAGAGTTGTTAAAAAATCTTTGGAAAAAGAAAATACTGAAAATATTATTTGTGTTGGTTTTTCAGGAGTTCAGTCAGCTTGTCTATTGCTTCAATAAATGTTCGAGTTTCAGCTGAGCAGAACAAAGAGCGTCAGTTTTTTTTAATTTTCTGATAGAATGATTGAATGAAAGATGACTTTCTTAAAAGTATGGTGTTTCTCGAGTCACAAAAATTCTCTTGTTTCACAGCGCCTTAAAAAAAATCTCCCTATCCTTTCCCTCGAAACGGCTCAAGTAAATCTTTTTTTAGCAGAAAATGCCTCTAGATATAAAAATCTGCATTCATTTGATGCATCTAGACACATATTTTCGGATTTTTTGTTATAAACGACGCGTTTATATAAAAAATATGACATTAGTGCAATGCGTTTAAATGCACATGTTTATCACAAGAACGTGTTCTTTCAGTAGCATTCATTATACAGAGGGTATAGGACAAGACAAGATTGTCCCAGCTCATTCTAGCCTGCTGAAGACAAGTTTTGATCCACAACCAAGGTCCATGAGAAGTTCTGCAACTGCTCTTTAATGCGACACAACTTTAATTGGATCGCTGAGCTATGGATTTCTTCCCATATTTTTTACCTGTTTATTGTCAATCAATAAGACATCTCCTTTCTCCCATTTAAAAGTAACTTTATTTTCTTCCAAGATTCTTTTACATGTTTCCAAATATTCTAATTCGATTTCTTTTCCATCACCATATGTGACCATCTTAGATCGTTCACGGTTACGTTCATCAAGTGATCCATAATAAGCACCAATAATCGTATTCCACCAAATTTTTTTACCTAAAGAGCAATTTTGCAAATAGATTCAGACAGTCAATGATGTATAATTGACGAAAGAGAAACTTTAATAGATTGACACTGGCGCTCAAGATTCTAATTAGATCGACAAAGATTTTCAGATTTACAGTCCTAGGATGTGTCTATGTTTTTAGATGCTAGATCCATATCAGTTGAATTTGATATAAACTTTGTCAAAATTCTTATTTCACTTCATTCTGTCATTAAATATGTCTGTATTGAATGAATCCTCCGAGAAAAATTGATGTTTGCATCGTTTATGTGTCTCATTCACAAAATGAGTTTCAGTTCGCGAAATCAAGGAAAATTTCACCTTCTTTTCATTCTAGAGGCTTCTTGGAGAAAATACACTAGTAAACAAGAATACAGTCAAAAATTCATTTCAACTCCAGGACGGAAAGAACGCTTAAGTTAGACCACAATGAGACGTCAACAAGCTCTCTACAACGTCACAAGCAAAAAGAAGAGTGTTTAAAAAAGTTCTTCTATTTTGATCGTTTTTTTGCTTGAGAATTTTACATTCAGATTTTGAATGCATACAGCAAAATGCTGTAGAGAGCTTGTTGTTGTCTCAATTTGCTCTAAATTTAACACTCTTTCCAGTTATATAGTTAGAATAGACTTTTACTTTATCGTAGTTTTGTATGAGTTTCTGAAAATTGATGTATCTTACTCACTTTATCTGAATATTAAATAATATGATTTGAAGACTCGTTACGTTAGAGACCTATTAAAGAACCTTTTAAATTAGTAGAACCTCTTATTTTCTTCAAAAACTATCATAAAACTTGAAAAACCTTTGCTTGCCATCCTTTAGTTTGTCGCATTTATCTGTGCCAGTTATTTTCATTTCTGCATTCTTGACGTCATACTTATGATCAGCAGCGAATTTTGAATTAGAAAATGTGTATTTTATGCGTTTAGGAAGAAATTATATTTTTACCTTCAGACCTTTGCTTTTGAATTGTTGAGGAAAAATGAAAGGGAAATTTTAGAAAAATAGGCGTCTACAATACTGAAAAAATTGAGACCAATTCCAAATACGTTAATTATATTGAGATTTGTCTCTGACCAAGACATTCGTTATTTATGAGAAAATTGATTATGAAACGGAAAACTTATATCTTATTGATACATTGATGAACAATTTCAGCAACTAAAAGTCAAGTTTTTCAAAAACTTAGTGCCATTGACTTGCTGACACTTCGAAAAATAACTTTGGAGAAGATTTCAAATCTATGCACATTCATACCTGTTCTTTCATCAACCTTCACAGCTGGAAGAATTTTTGTTGTAGTTCTCAGACAACCGCTATCGAGCCATTCGACTAAAGGAAATAAGATAGTATTAAAAGAATAGCAAAATTGACCTCTTATCGAAAAGTCAACACTTACATTCCGTTTCAAATTCTTTACATCTTTCTTCCGCCTCTTTTCTATCTAGCGTATGAAATGTTGATTGCCATCCGCGCCCGATAGCAGAAGTTTGATCATCACCATTTGGCAGGACTCTTGAATATCTTACGCCGTGTTGTTCTAATCGCTCAACAAATTGTGGACATTTTTCCTTCATTTTCTCATAGATGAGCGGCGAATAACAAAGTGGAGTTTCACCACCTTCAGCCGGAGGAGTTTCACAGAAGAAAAAGAGATAATTTGGATAACGTGGAACACGTCCACCTTCATGATGAAATGGAATTGGCTGAGATGGTGGGGAATCATTCGATGTGTAGACACAGCCAGTAACTTTAGTCCGGACAGCTGCACCACCTAGAAAATGAAATACACTAGTATAGAGCGAAGAACAAATTTGTAGAATCAATCAATGCGTTAGGTGATTAAGACTCGATGACGTTAAATTTCTTCGTTGCTAAGTGTTTTGGAACAAATCTACTAAAGAATAGAACACAACAATTCAGACAAAAAAGTTTTACGTATGAGCAAGCATCTGAAATATCCATATAAAACATTCGTTAAAATTTATATACAGAACTCCTTCGAATTTTCGTACTTAGTTTTCCTGTTATACCATGAAATAGAAACGAACAACAGAGCAAAAATGTAAACAAAACCGAATGAGAGAATATTTATAACATAAAGTCATCAGCGGACGTAGTTACTGGATATCTTACATATATTTGGATGCAGTATGAAGAAACCGTCTATCCTATTTGTTACATTGACCATCTTCGGAAGCCTAGAGAAACACTCGCTAATGCAGTTTTGATGCAAATTCTTTGGAACATCGTATTTTGTCAATAATGTCTCAAGAGACGTAAGATCCATCTCACAGATGTTTCTCAAAAACTTTTCTATTGGTCTCAACGATCCGATCTTGACTTGAACTATGAGTTTCCGAAAAGATGGGCTTCGAGACAGCTCAGAGAATCTTTAAAGCCTCATTACACTTTTCTCGAAGACCAAGAAATAAATGATTATTCTACGCTAGTCAAAATGAGCATTCATTGAATTTATAATATGTTTCTATCGTTAGATATGACAGAAATACAAGAATCTGTAAAGATCTTCGAGTTTTAAGAAACTGATAAGCCTTTTTAATCAAATGCTAAACAGAAGCGTTACACAACTTGGTCAACGTTCATTTTGCTGATCCTTGACTGATTATCTGATGAGACCTTTAGTAGGCGTTATTAAGTTTTTATAGAGTTTCTCTCAGTTTTTTGGGTATTCAGGTTTACGTTAAACCCACAATTCTAGATTGTGGACTCGGGAAGAAAGTCTCTTCACAAATCATAATAAATTCAGTCAAGATCTTTCATTTACAACTCGTCTCAAACTTTTACGTGAAGCACACACAAAAGATTCACAAAACCTCTTACAATAGGTCATTTTCCTGAAAGATCCTTTTTGCTGATACAGAAGGCTGAATCTAGCTTTTTCCCTAACTAAGATAGCATGATGTAATTTGACACGAGAATCAACGTTCAAAAATACACTTTCATTGTCACTAGCGAAGAGAACAATATAATTGCGGTGTATATCATGTGCATGTGGATAGTATGAAATATTTTTCACGTTTACATAGCATTTGAGGAAACGCGAATATTGCTCCTCAGATAGATACTGTCGCGATAGTTGCTCCCATGCGACACGGATGTGGCTTTGAATGCAAATGTCCATCACTGCTTCACCTATGCAAATTCACACTCGTGTCGCTGGGAAACAATCGTCGTGGAAGCATCTATGTGGAGAGCATCTTTCATTGAATCAGCACTTGAGTGTTATCTTTGCTCGACGTCTGTATATAATAAGTTCAGTGAAAACTTTGCCTTCCTTACCGATATAGGGTAGTTCTGTCCATTTGAAACTGAGTGCAAATTGATTGAAATCTTCAGCTGTCTCTATTGGAAAATGACGAAAGAGTATTGCTCCGGATTTTAGAAGTTTCTCTAAGATTGATTCTTGATACTGATGGATATATTGTAATGTTTCATTGAGGGTAATTTGAGAAGAAGTTGTTGGAACTAATACGAGAGGAAGAAGAGCTTGATTTTGAGTGGATTGGTTAATAGATTGCTGTTGTTGATCGTGCAGACGGATTTCAGTGAAGACAGAGTCCATGGTTAGGTTATATCAATACTAAGAAGCAACGTGTATTTTAGTGTCGAGAAATCAAAAACAAGAGATAAGAACACAAAAATTCGATATTTTATAACGCACGTTGTCTTTACCCTCCTTTCTTTCTATCTTTCTCGACATATCACATACACAAAGAAAGAAAGTAAGTCACATAACATATAATACAAAAGTAATGACACGAAATGTCGATTCCTATTTCTCTACGACAAAAAAAAGGGGCTGAAAATAAATGTTTTTTTTTAACCAAACGATAGTGTTTCTACTCTTTTGAATCGTATATAATTCTTTTGTAATATATTCACCAACAAAACGACCCAACACCCTCGAAAAAGAATCCGCACTTTCATGAAATTCAGAAAAACAATGCAAAATGTTGATCCCTGTATTTCATCGATAAATAAGCTCTGCAAAGAATTTTTTGTCAGTTTATAGGAAATTTTCTCTTCTTTCGGATAATGTACGATTATTATTTATCACACATTCGTAAATCAAATGACATGAGAAAAAGAGAGAATCACTCGCGCAATGAATTTATAATTTTTATATGAACTCGGCAAAATCCTTTTAACGAGTTCATATAAAAATTACAAATATCTCGCATGGAAATTTTTATGTTTTCTCATCTCATTTCGTTTATCCATGTGTGACAACTACAAATTAAATACGATTCGAAAGAGGAGAAAAAACTCTATCGTTTAGTCAAAAAAGGTTTTCTTTCAATACCTTTTTATCGAAGAGAAATAGGGATTGACATTTTATGTCATTACTTTTGTAGTGTATATTAAAAGCAGCGATTTATTTTACATAAAAAAAAGAACAATATGAATAATTTTCGAAAATGCAGTTTTACTAATCTAACTGTACCGCTAAAACGCAGTATTGTCATTCGCACTATTTCATTTTAATCAGAGTGAGGTTGAGCTTTATAAAAACATATCTCAGATAAAAATAAGACCCTTATAGGATACTCTTCATTGCATATACTTTGTTTGCGAAAACTAGGAAAAAAAGCCTATCAAAGTAGCCCTTAACGAGAATAAAAGTCTTTTAACAGAGAACTGAAAATGCCACAGAAAATAAATGGTGTTAGTATCCTCAGATCACCTAAAAAATTTTCTCGTCAATTAAGTCAAATCTTGAGGAAGGTTCAAGAGGCAATCTATAATCATGTAAGGGTTACAAAGCTTCGGGTTTTGAATATGAGTCGAAACTGCTTATTCCTTGTATGATGGAAGGACTTTTACAAAACCATCGATTCAAATGAGTTACCTTGCTTATAAACCTACCATTTTTAGTCTTTTCTTCCAGCGCCATTCGATCACAAGCAATCCGTCAAGATTATATTAGAAAGTATTTTTTAAAGTTTTTTTTTTAAACAGTATAATAAAACGAAGTTTCGAAAGAAAGTCAAGTTCGTGTTACTGAACAGTATGAAGAAATGCCTAATGTGCTTAGTAAAATACAATTATTCATGCAAAAATGCAGCAATTTAAGTTTCTCTAGATTTTTTTCAGATATCAGAAATTGTACTGTAATGAATCAGATTAGTACCCACATATGTATTGAAGAACGTGTGTATTTTGTTAATCCGTGTGACCTGTTATTCATGCTAGGGTGTGGGTGTGTGGGTGTAGCTGTCCGCGAAGAGAATATCTGTACCCACATCTACACCCCTTTACAAACAGTAAACAAAGAGAAAACATTTTGCAAAAGGTAGCTCATCATTAGAAAAAGATTCAAAGTATAGATGAGCAGATGACTCTATCCTCAGACTTTGTCGAAATGTACAAAGAATCGCAGAGGAGAAAAACATTTTTTTGGTAATCGATTTAGCTTTGGGAGATGGAATGCTTTTGCTTTTTCCAGACGATTAGTATTTTTCTTCAGATACTACATTTCGCTCTATTCTATTGATAATCTTACATGATTGCATGAGTTTCTTGCGTTCATCATGAAAACTTCCGAGTTTGTAGTGGACGAAAAGTTGAATATAATGGAAAAGAAAATGTTGATCGAAATTCATCCGCATCACATAGTTTTACTTAACTCAAGGTTCACTTTTTCCTAGTTTTTGAGCTTATGTGAGTTTTGAGGAGTAGTATATGCCTGAATGCGTTGATACCAGATATTTGATCAGTGTCACAAGATTGTCATGGCTAGATATTAAAAAGAAAAAAGTTTTATCATTGTTAGAATCAGCTTTGAAAACTGTGTCGAAGAGAATGTTATTCCAATGTTTTGAATGATTTTAATTTTCGAGCGCCTATAACAAACCTTGGTACACTAGTCAAGCCTGAATTTTTTTTTCTTTCGGACTAAACACTCAAGTAGCATTCCATTCGAGGCACTTGTTAAAGCTGATTCTAAAAATGATAACAACATTAGTAAAATTTCTATCAATGGCAGAGAAAAAGGCGAATTGCCTGTCAAATTTTGAGGCTCATGATCATCTCGACACTATAAAATGAACAAGTTATAATGTATGGCGTGTATGCTAGTTTATTCCTTATCAGTTTCTGTGTCACAAAAAATATGTGACAGGCTATAGGAATCGGAATAAGTCGAGCTAAGAAGATAAAACCATGAGAACGTCTTATATGCGTGTCTCATTGTTCTATGTCAAAGTATCGACGTGGAATATAATTTGTGACCTGATTGATATTGGGTTCGACAGAAGAACTTACGAGCTTTCTAACACACATAAAAATGTAAGATTGGCATTTATTTTCATCAAGAACTGCTTATGCCAAAAATCGTTATTTCCACAAAGAAAATGATTTATGTAACAGATTACCTAAGAACCTTCGAAACTTTTTTTTAATATCTAGTCTTGACAATCTTACGACACGAATCATGAATCTGATATCAACACATGCCTCCATACAGTACTCCTCAAGACTTACATAATCTCAAAAACTAGGAAAAGTGAATCTTGAGTTAAGTAAAACTATATGATGCAGATGAATTTCGATCAAAACTTCATTATCATTATACATAGCTTGTCGTTCATGACGACCTCTGAAATTTTCATAATGAATGCATAAAATTCATGGAATGATGTAAGATTATCAATAGAATAGGCCTTTGTTTTTTCAAAAACAGACATCCAAATACAAAGACAATGGCAGATAAAACTGGTGAAATCACAATCCAATGATTTTTCTCTTCACTAATGCACAAATATAGTTTTGTTGATTATTTTCTTTGATAAATTTTCACTCTTTCTGAATTTGCCGATAAAATGTATTTCGATGAATTTTTGGAGTCGAGAACTGGACAATATTTTTGAAAACTTTGCTGATCAAAGGAGAATTCAGATTCAAAAATCTACTTGCTCATCTCTATTTCGAATTTCTAGGAAGTTCATTTTCACAGTGCTCTATATTAAATGCCTATAATTGAGTTAAACGAACTACTGAGCTTGATACGACGTTTATGGTAGATCAAAGAAAAATTTCAAATTTGGAAAATTCTCATTTTACTGTAATCGAGTTCTGTCTTCCTTCTTATCTTATCTGTTCTTCATCTTTTTCGCTGGTATGATTTGGACAAATATTCAAAAAGAGACCGTGCAACATATAGCAGAGCAAAATTATTAAAATAAGCTCATGGTTTTCTTTTGTTTCTTAGAACTACTATCCGTTAGCGTATCGACTAGATCAAGGTAAAACATGTTCGACCAAATCTTATCTAACGTTACTTCCAAAAGACCACTCGTTCATTGTATTACAAACTACGTCACTGTCAGTGACTGTGCCAATATTATCGCAGCATGCGGTGCCTCACCGATTATGGCCGATGATCACAATGAAGTAGAAGATATAACATCAATTTGCAATGCACTTGTTCTCAACATTGGCACACTGAATGAAAGAACAATTCAATCAATGATTAAAGCTGGCAGAAAGGCAAATGCCTTAAGACACATTGTAGTTCTTGATCCGGTCGGAGCTGGTGCTTCTAATCTACGTACAGAAACCACTTATAAGTTATTAAATGAAATCCAATTTTCTGTTATTCGTGGAAATATTTCTGAAATTAAAACAGTTGCATTGGGAAGTGGAACGACGCAAGGTGTCGATGCAGATGCTAGTGACACCGTAACAGAAGAAAATTTATCCGAATCAATTCAATTCATTAAAACGTTAAGTAAAGTAGGTAACTACAGTTCACTGCATTTTCAGTTTTTGTTATATCTCAGCTTTTAGTAATGTTAAAAATCGATTTCTTTCAACAAAACATAGCCAGTATTGAGAAGTGCTAGCGTTGACGATTGAATTCGATTATACTGTTACCCAGTGACAGCGAATACACTGTTTTTTTTCAAATATTTTCAAAAATCGAGCTTCCAACTGTATCCTAACCACGAGATTTCATCTGAATTGCTCGAAAAGCAAACAACTCGATGCAGAACGGCACGATGTATCATTATTAGAAGAATAAGTATTCTTGCTTTAAGTCTTAGTCAGATAATTCTTGACTAAGGCTAAGTATTAAATTAGTCAAAATTTCAAAAGCCGAGTTCTTGTAAAATATCAAAACTAACTTAAAGTGAGTGCAAAACTTGGCAAAATGAGAAGCGTTTGTTCTAGAATACATGTGTTCAATGTTTTTAGGAATTAAAATAGAATTCTCACGAATGATTATTTTCTGTTTTCCAAACTTTACGAGTTAAAAATTAGAATGTCGAGATCCAAATTAAGTTAAATTTTGCAGAAAATTGAAATATCTACAAAACGAAACGCTCCACAATTCTGTACTACACATAGCAAAGTAAAAGATTTTAAGATTTGAAAGTTACACTTCCAGAAAAATCTTAAAATCTGCAGCGATTATAAAATCGAGGCATGCACGTAATATGTTGGATTTATTTTTTGTACACATCATACGGAGCTGTGGAATAGTTACCTTTCTAGAAAAAAGTTTTCTTTAAGCCTCAAAGGCTTTTCAGAACTTTAAATGAACATTTAGAAGTTTGAAATATTCAAGAAATCGAAATGGAATGCTTCATTAAAATCATAATACAACCTACAATATCACCACCTGAATTCAGATTTTTGCGAGCAAAAAGTACACGACTTTTTTGAACTTTTTCGAGCTTTGTACATATCGATTGTTTATCTTCTTCGAAATGTCCTAAAATTACTTTTAACTTTTTCAAATTTTTTTCAAACTTCTTCTGACTTCTAAAGTTTTGTTCAAAAATCGTCTTCGAACATTTCTGGTTAAATTACATCAAAAAAAATCTTTTCACAATACAATTATTAAATCTATACATTTCACTGATGTTTGTCGTTTGAACAACTTCAATGACGCTAAATCAAGACTAGCTAGTGATGATCTAACTATAGCTCAGTCGTTGACTTAAATTTTTGTCAAAAGTGTCCTACAGACTTCTACACTGATTCAAGTTTTATTTTTAACTGGTCTAAGTCAAGTGAAACCTGTTGGTTACGAATTATAAAATATTAAGAGAGTGTTTTGAAAAGTTCTTGTATAAACAGTGTTTTCGCTCTAATGCAGGCAACTCATGTTCGCACATTATGATTTTTCTAAAAGGGTTAAAGCCATTGACGAGCTTCATATCAGCGATGAAGCTGAGCCTTTAACTATTAAAACAGTTGAGTTAGTGAAGCTTACTATTGTCATCTACTTTTCAGAAACTTAAAGCTGTGATTGTAATTACTGGTGCAATCGATATTGTGGCAAACGAAGATTATGCCTATGTTATTCGAAATGGAAACGCAATGATGTCTAAGGTAGTTGGAACGGGGTGCATGTTATCCTCATTGATTGGTGCATTTTGTAGTGCAAATGAGGATAAAATATTAGAAGCAGCTGCAACGGCTGTGTCTTTAATGGGATTAGCTGGTGAAATTGCTTATGAAAGACTGAAGAAAGTTGATGATGGTGCAGGACTGGGTACTTATCGTACGTTTCTTATTGATGCGATTAGCAATATGAATTGGGAAGTATTAAAGAATGGAATGAAAATTGAGCAAAGATAAATTAAGAAACTTTTACAGATCGAAGTACTTTCTCCCTCGCCTAGCTTTGTACGCTTAAACGTAAATTCGAAAAATAAAATTGTTTTTTTGAATAAAAGTAGACTATCTCTTCTAGTTGAACTCGATGCTTTTTCGTTTTATCGATTTATTTAAAATTTAAATAAATCTACAGAAAAAGTTATTAGGGCTCCTGACCTATGTCTTATGCCCTAGACAAAAAAAAAGATACTGCTAGTAGTTCATGTTGATTTGTGCTAGGATAAGAGTGAGCTTTTCTTTTGAAACATTGTCATTATTGCTTTCTGCTCTCGTGATCGCCTTATGAATTAGGGAAATTGTATAGTTTTTTATTTTAGGAAGATTTGTGCTAGTGTGTATGTAGTTGGTAGAGGTGTATGCTGGAAGTCCAAGTGCCGCCTTGGCCGCTTTGTTTTGTAATATCTGGATACGTTTTCAAATTTTTCGGTTTGACTTTAGGAGGATAGAGGACCCGTAGGAAATGATGGGTCTAACTAGTGATTTATATAGATTGTTCATAGTTTTATTATTTGAGTTTGGACTTATTTTTGCAAGAAATTTGAGAAGGCTTATCCTTGGTGCGACTTTTGTTTCTAGTTGCCGTAGATAATTTTGCCAGTTTAGTCGATTGTCAAATATGACGCCAAGGTACTTTGCTGATGGAACAGGTTTTATTGATGTTTCCTCAACTTGTAATGTAATTTTGTTTTTATATTTTTTTTCGTGGATGAGGGGCTAAAGTGAAGGAGTTCAGTCTTGCTGGGCTATATTGATAATTTCCAGGTGTCACACCATTTATGGAATTCGTCTACGGAAATCTGCAGGCGATGATTGAAGTTAGTGATAGTGTTAGATGAGGACCACAATGCTGTATCATCAGCAAAAAGTCTGTACTCCGTAGCTTGATTAATATTATTCATTGAATCACTAGTGTAGAACTCGATGCTTTGTTGTTGTTTGAATGCTGATGCACGAATAAGATTCGAGTTCTTTCGGATTAACAGTAACAATCGTCATTCTAAGTATCGGCTATGTATGTTCGAAAACATCTTGTCAAGGCAACATCTATCGGTGCTAAAATGATAAAACTTCTATCCAGATAATTTGGTGAGTCTACTTGAGAACTATTAAAAGCGTCGTAAATGTCACGACATGGGTCTCAACACTTGCTGATTCAGCCGTGCGTGTTTGCCATGGAAAGTTGTCTAAATAATATGATAAAGACAACACTTGGTCAAAGATTGGAATTTCAGGTGTAGGATTACTTACCTCGTTAACCATCTCATTTGGACTCCGACAGGCGACCCCTGTTCTTGGTCATTTCTACAGCTCCCGTGCTATTTTTTATGAAATCATAGACTGCAGGTGAGACTTGAGCGTGCTAAATATCAGTGTCCAAACTAGGTGATATTTTAGTACATAGCCGTGACTGAAACTCGGAATTTTAAATCAAATATCCAACTTTAGCGATGTTCTTCAGGATAAATGGAATTCTGTATCAAGCTGAAACTTTTTCTGAGAATAAATCTCTATGATTTCTGTCTACAATAAAAGTTTCAGACTTCTATTTTGAGCTTATCATGAGATATAAACCCTTAAAGCTGCTAAAAACCGTCAATTTTGTCTATATTTTCGAAATGCATAGAATAAAAAGGACTCAACCGATCGAGCTGGAAGTTTCTTTGTACGTAGAACTTGTAGATATGCGCATCCACAAAAAAACCAAGTCGAACACTCAAGTTGTTCATGAGATATTCCATCGACAATGTCCTCTGTTCTTTGATCTCGTATTTTTAGGACTCTCGGGAAAACATTCATAGAATACTTCTTTTTACCACATATGCAGAATTTAGCATAATCTGAGACTATCAATTGAGCAGAATCGATGTGATTTACATGAGCTGACTCTTAAGTTTTTATCTCAAAATCACAAGTATGACTGAAAAGCATCAACGAATGAGAATATTCATATACTTTCGATGTCTCGTGACGATTTATCTACGTGATGACCTTTAAGTATTTTGTTGATGTAAACAACGAGTATACCTTGTAGGAAAGCTTTTGTGCCATTGAATAAGAATTTGTACGATCTTGTCCAACATATTCGAAAGACTTCTTTGCTATACTTCCATCTCATACATGTTCATGAGTCAGATGAAATGAGAACAAACACTCGAAATACTCTCATGTGATTGAATCAATCTCAAAAATAGATAATGATTAACTGATCCTAGTAGAGTATTCGATTGAACTGCAACTGAAGTGTTTCATGAAATTATGTTGGAGTATAGTCGCCACTACTTAATCACAAATTCAAGCTTGGAACTTAAATTCTTAAAAATTTCAAACCTTGAAACTTCAAAGTTCAATTGAATTCAAGTTTCAAGTTTTCCAGTACTAACACCCGTAGAGGAGGATGTGGATGTGGTTGTGGGTGTTTCTTTATTCTCTGCAAACACACACACTCACACACCCACATCCTTCGATTGAAATATGCGATTGTGGGTGTGGGTGTCGATGAAGATGATGTCAACATCCCGCACATCCACACACCTACAGCAGCACCCATACTCACACGCTTCGAATCTTTGTCTATATTTGAGTTTAATTATTGTCATATTTGTGTTCTGTATGAAGAAATGAAAACGAAAGAACACCGTCTTACTTTACTACTTGTGAAGTATTCTGAAGCAAATAGCACAATCATAGAAAACGCCGAAAGAAGATCGTTACAAGAGCGCCATTCAATAAAATTTTGCATAATTTATACTGATGTTGTATTATCTGACTCGTAAAAACTTTCTTCCACATTGCCTACAGGCGAATAGACTACCAATTCCCTTAGCTCAACATCGCAATTATGTGACCGCAAGGCACGAATCCTACTAAACAATGTGTATACCAATCCACTGTTTCTTGTATACAACAAACCAAGCAAGACCAGTAAGAACTGTAATGATAACGATTAGAGCAAATACAATTGAAGCGATGCGCTTATAGGCACGAGATTTTGACTGACACATATTCTCAACTGTGTTCTTTTTCGTTGTTTCATCAGCATTAAAAGATAAATTCAATTGTATGAATTGGTGTAGCATAGCACGTGATCGACGTGCATAGTTGTAAGGTACCATGTGACAAGCGTTGTAGAAGAAAACATAAGATAAATTACCCAGGTCGAAAAGTACCGGCCGGTTCCCGCAGGAAAACACCGGAAATAGCCGGAACATGGAAGCAGTATTCCGGCCGGAAATTTTCGGGATTTTTTCCGCTCGGTTCCTGCCGGAAAACACAGGAAATTGGCCGGAATTCACCGGAAAAAATCCCGGAGAATTTCCGGCCGGACTACTGCTTCCATGTTCCGGCTATTTCCGGTGTTTTCCTGCAGGATACGGTGATTTTTCCCGCATTTTCCTGCCGGTTCCTGCAATATCCGGTGGCCAGAACGATCGACCTGGGTATGTACAGTCCGAATAAGACCGACAGGTTCATCATCCACAACCCATGGCTCTAATGGAGCTAACGTTCCGTTTCCCAGATCAAATCCGGACCCATTGTTCCAAACCAACGTATCCATCATTTTCTCAGTCGTCCAATAATTACAAATCAAGTCATATTCACTACTGTAAAGTAAGATTGGAATTTTTTGAAGTAGATCAGGCAACAATTTGATCGATGGTTTAAAATTGTATGGTTGATATGTTTCAAAAATAGAGTACTCAAACGCTGTCCATTTTGATTTTTCACCATTAGTGTGAATACACGACATAACATCTTGTCCATGTAAATATAGCGTAAGATATTTGATGTCTGGTGGCCAATTTCTACCACAATGGGGCCATGTGTCGTCGAATCGTACGTCATAAATATTGACACATCTACCTTTTGTCTTTGTCGTGTAATGATTATTCATTGCACCGTTATCAAGTATTTGATTCAGAATAGAATCACACGCTTTTTCGAAAACATGCATTTTATTAGAAAGCGCATGTTGACATATTCCTACTTGACTACTAATAATATCATAGAGTACTGAATTAATTTTCACTAAATTATTTGCAACTGCAAAAGGTAAATATGATTCATAAATAGTCACAGGATTGATCCAACCATTTCCAATTAAAAGACCGCGTAAGCTTAAGTTCGATCGTTTTGCAAGAATCTCATGTGCAATATACGGAATATATTGACCAACAAAAGATTCACCAGCCAAACAAATATCGTTTTGAAGTAGTTTTGGGAAAACTTCGATATATCGGTCGAGAAAACTCACAAAATGATTCATCACTTCATCAAGTTCATGAATGAATGAGTCATTATCAATATATGAAAAACCAGTACCGACAGGCTGATCGATAAACAATAGATTGACAAACAAATGCCAAGATCCATTATTTTCAATTATTGTATTTTCATCTTGAAATCGGAAAGGAGCAATTTCTGTCCAAGCTCCAACGAGACTACTTGCACCAGGACCTCCATTAAGCCAAATCACTGTTCTTGGTTTGTCACTAGTATGTTTGCTTGCAAAATGCCGGAAAAATAAAGTTCTGTGATGTTCTGGATCAACAGGTAGATATCCAGCATGCATACGAATATCGCAAGCCTCGTTAGGTAAAAGAGGTAAGTTGTGAACGTAAAAATCTTTAGCTTGTAAACTGTTCACCTTATATATAGAAAGGAGGACAAGCATATGTAGAATCATGAGATACATATGAAACAAATGTTTTCTCTATTCTGTCGTAATAAATTGCAAGATAAAGTTGTATTTAATTAATCAATGCCTGAAAGAATCTAGAATATTAAGAAATATGAGCGGTAAATTTATCATCGTGATAATAAAGAATCTTTCAAGTTCTATTTCTCCTCTTGGTTTCTGTTATAGCATTTACAGACACAAAATAACTACTAAAATGACTAGTCATATCTACTGAAATATTTGAAGAACGAATTATCTGCGTTGTTATGTATTCATGTAATAT